CCAGGTGCCATGGCGCAGGGGCAGTGCTCCTCAGGGAGGCTCAGGCTACACAGGAGCCCACGGTGTTGGGTGGGGGAGGCTCGGGCTTGGCGAGCTGCAGGTCCCAAACCCTGCCCCCACGGGGAGGCAGCTGAGGCCCAACGAGAATTTGAGCGCAGTGCCAGCGGGCCTGCACTGCTGGGGAACCTGGTGCACATCTGCAACTGCTAGCTGGGGTGCTAAGCTCCTCACTGCCTGGGGCCGTTGCAGCCCGCCAGTGCTCCGAGTGCAGGGCCTACCGAGCCCATGACCACCTGGAACTGGTGCTGGCCCGAGAGCACCCTGCACTGCCCCGGTTCCCGCCCACGCCTCTCCCTCCACACCTCCCTGCAAGCAGAGGGAGCTGGCTCCCGCCTTGGCTAGCCCAGAGAGGGGCTCCCACAGTGCCTGCGGTGGGCTGAAGGGCTCCTCAAGCATCTCCAGAGTGGACGCTGAGGCCGAAGAGGCGCCGAGAGCCAGGGCTGCTAGCATGTTGTCACCTCTCATTATCATTTAGCTTTCTTCAACCTCTTACTGACAGTTTGTCTTTGTGAACAATTTGAAGACGAATGGTAAGTCAGGATTTATTGTATAGATTCTATAACTCACACTAGGGCATTTCCAATTTAGAAGCAGTTTATTGAGCAGCACCAAGGAACTATGAATACATCTGTACTTAGGGTGCCAGGAGTTTTAGGACATATTCTTCTTAGGTACTTAAGTGAAACTATTGTTTCAGTGTTATGTGTTAATCTCAGACTTGCTCAATTTCATTACCAGTGTCTGATAAATAAAATTTCCAGACAAGGCAAGAAGAAGCAACTAATATTGCCTCATTCACCCCTTCTCCCAAAAAAAAAACCCCAGTTTTTTTGTGTGTGTACTACTTATAATCCACAGAATGTGCTGACCCTATCATAAAGATTTATAATTGTTGGCTATGAAAATCTTTTCAGAAACAGATACAAAGAGGTATATTAATTCCATGTGAGTATATTAGGTCCCGTACTCAGTAGCCCAAAATAATTAAGTATAATCTTTCCTTTTCTAATAGTATTATCCAAAACTACTCCATTTGTTTGAAAGCTCTTCTTGGCTAATTAGAGGAAACAGTCCTGAAATTTTAAGTCACTGTGGGTGTTTGGCTTCTTAAGTTCCATATATTTAAAATTGAATCTGCAGTTTTTTCTGCAAAACTACATCTTCCCCCTCATATCCCTATTTCTGTTAGTGACAGAACTATTCTTTCAGACATCAAAAGTTCAGTCTTTTTCCCTTGTTTCTTCTCTTGCTTTAAAATTAGATTCAAATCCTTAACATGTTCTTTGTTTCTTTTTCTCAGCTTCAACTTTCTTTTTTTGATATGGAGTCTCACTTTATGTAGCCCAGGCTGGAGTGCAATCATGCAATCTCGGCTTACTGCAACCTCCGCCTCCCGTGTTCAAGCGATTCTCCTGCTTCAGCCTCCTGAGTAGCTGGGATTACAGGCATGCACCACGACACCCAGCTGATTTTTTTGTATCGTTAGTAGAGACGGGGTTTCACCATGTTTGCCAGTCTGGTCTCGAACTCCTGACTTCGTGATCCACCCGCCTCGGCTTCCCAAAGTGCTGGGATTACAGGCGTAAGCCACCGTGCCCGGCCTCAGCTTCAACTTTCACGTCCAATCTATCACTGTCTTGATTCTTTCTGTAGAGTGTGCTTGTCATTATATTTCTACTCTTACCAATATCACCTTAGTTTAGCCCTTCTTCTTTTTATGATAGTAAATACAAATAACATAAAATTTACCATTTTAACCATTTAAAAGAGTATGATTCAGTGGAATTAAGTACTTTCACAGTGCTGTGAAGCCATCACCATAATTTAGTTCCTGAACATTTTCATCACCCAGAAACCCCATACTCATTAAGTAGTTACTTCTCATTAACACCTCCTCCAAGCCCCAGTCAACTAATTTGCTTTCTGTTTTTACGGTTTTTACCTACTCTAGATATTTCCTATAAAATGGAATCATACAATATGTGGTCCCTTGTGTCTGGCTTTTTTTACTTAGCATATTTTCAAGGTTCATCCATGTTGTAGCATGTATCAGTATTTCGTTCCTTTTTATGGCTGAATATCTATTGTGTGTGTATACCACGTTTTATCCATTCACTTGTTAATGGATATTTGGGTTGTTTCTGCTTTCTGGCTGTTGTGAGTAATGCTGCTACAAACATTTGTGTACCAGTTTTTGTTTAAAGAGCTGTTTCAGTTCTTTTGAGTATATACCTAGGAATGGAATTGATGGATTATATAGTGATATATAATTACTATAATTCTGTTTAATTTATTGCAGAGCCAGCCCCATACTTTTCACACCAGTATTTTCCAAAACGTGGGACACTACCATTTACATTGATAATAACATTTAGTATCAGTGAATTATTCTTTTCTTAACTTCAATCCCTCTGATTAATTAAATCAGGGGGAATATTATTTTTTTCATTGTATTTTGTTTTATCATTACATTTTATTTCCATAGCATGTATTACCATTTCACATGTATAGTAGTGAAAGTTTACTTTTGATGTTAATATATGTAAAATAAAATGGTATATAGAGTTTCTAAAAATATAATGAAGATCAAACAGAGAAATGTTAAAAAAAAAAATGTAAAGATGATACGAGAATGCCTTGAAGTTTTGGAAATACAGACCTGAGCTATTGCAGCTATTGCAGCAAATCCCAACTGATTTTCCTTCTCCAGTCTTTCTCACTTTCAATCAACCATTCATGCAATTCCTAGAATATTTTCCAATGACTTTGATAGGGTCACTCTGTTCTTCACAGACATTTGTTGAATCCCCATTTTGTGCAGAGTGAAATTCAAGGTTGTTTATCTATATTTTCATGTCTTTCATCCTTCCAACCAAACAAATCTAATTATGATTCCTAAAAATCACTTTATACTTCCTACTACTGTACATTCCCTTATGTCATTCCTCTGCTGTAAATTCCTTTTCCCTTAGTTCATATTGCCATTCAATAGGGTCTGATATGTACCAGAAACTGTACTGTTGGCCTGGACTACAATGGCTTTCTTTTACACTTATGAGACAGCAGATAATAGGCACAGAAATAATTCATTAATTACAATGGCAGTAAGTAGTATGATAGAAAAATAGAGAGTATTATGGAAATAAATAGGACACCTGATCTAATTGAAACTGAAGGGGTGGTTTCAAAGACTTCTTGGAGAAAATGTCATTTAAGCTGAGACCTAAGTAATTAGTAGGCGTTAGCTTAATGAAGAAATGGACAGAGAGAATAGTATGTGCAAAGGTACCAAGGTGGGGAGGATCTTGGCTCAAATATGTTAATTATTCATATTTCATATATTTATTTTGCTATGAAGAACTTTAGGTGTATGTTTTCTTCTCAATAATAATGTACTGGCCTATAATATTTAATATACTTCTTACAAATACCAATTTATCGTGCAGCCTTAACTCTGTGAATTTTTTTTTGAGGCAGGCTTTTGCCCAGGCTGGAGTGCAGTGGTGTGATCACAGCTGACTGCAGCCTCAACCTCCCGGACTCAAGTGATCCGTCCACCTCAGCTTCCCAAGTAGCTGAGACTACAGGCGTGTGCCACCATACCCAGCTAATTTTCATATTATTTATGGAGATGAATTTTTGCCATGTTGCCCAAGCTGGTCTTGAACTCCTGGGCTTAAGCCATTCACCTATGTCGGTCTCCCAAAGTGCTCAGATTATAGGTGTGGGCCACCATGCTCAGCCAACTATGTGAATTTTTATTTTTAAAGAGACTTAAAAAAAAAATCAGTGTAGTAGTCAAAGATTAAAGATTAAAGTCAAGTCTGTTTTTTTTTTATTTTTCTGAGGTGGAGTTTCGCTCTTGTTGCCCAAGCTGGAGTGCAATGGCATGATCTTGGCTCACTGCAACCTCTGCCTCCCAGGTTCAAGCGATTCTCCTGCCTCAGCCTCCCTAGTAGCTGGGATTACAGGTGCGTGCCTCTACACCTGGCTAATTTTTTGTATTTTTAGTAGAAACGGGATTTCACCATGTTAGCCAGCCTGGTCTTGAACTCCTGATCTCAGGTGATCTGCCCGCCTCGGCCTCCCAAAGTGCTGGGATTACAGGCATGAGCCACCCCACCCAGCCAGATTCAGGTCTTAAAACTATCCAGGGAATTTATATGGAAGTCCCATCTCTATATAGAAATTTATATAGATTTATATAACAATTTATTATAAATCTGTTTTGTATCTATGACCTGTATAATAATACAATATATATACCTGATTATAATCCTAAAATAAATATTTTTATTTTTCAAATGTACGGGTGCCTATATAGAGAGTACTGCTGTCAGTCAAGGCTTTTGGTTACATGCAGAGAAACCAACTCTGGCTATCTTAAGGAGAAAAATAATTTAGTTGGAGATTGAAGAATCCACAGGACAATGGAGAGTAAGTATTGGAAAATGGACAAAGACCTAAAGGAGCTAGCTGATAGGAAGGACTAGCCAGAGTCATGCTACAGGAACACACATTGGGAAGCCACTACTGTAAGACTTTCATTGTTGTTGCTGCTGCTCCCAGGCTTTAAATAATTTTCTTACTCGTAGTATCTTTGTGATGCCAGTTGGAGTTCAAAGTCTAGGGTAGAAACAGCATGGCTGAGTCCTTGTTGTGGCTATAGGAGAGGATCTCCTCTCTTTGGATTCTCTCTTTTGGCCTCCCTCCAACACTCACATAAGGGATTTTCTCTAAGTAAGAAGCGGGGGTTTGGACTATCAAGACCTCCCCCCACTGACAAAACAAACAACTGTCTTTCCCACCTACCCATTAAAATATATTTCTAAACAGTTCTGCATGATGATGGATAGGTGTATGTTTCTGAAATATAAGGCAAAATTTTTAAAGGCATCTCAAATGTCCTGGAAAGTATGTAGTTGTTTTTTTTTTTTAACAAAAAAGAAAGGTTGTGGTAGTTTATTAGAGAAAAAAATGACTTTGATTCTTTAAACTAGTCTTGAGTATACCCAAATTTTATAGTATATAGGCATCAACAAAGAAATTTATTAGATTACGTATTTTTCTAAGAGACAGAATTACGAAAACTGAAGGTGATTGCCAGATATACATTTGCTTATTTTTCAACATTTTTCTTTGGTAGACAAAAACGTTTTATATTTCAAATGTGTCCAAGATATTGCTATCATTTATACAAATGGATAAAAACACAAAGTACAGTAAACACACATATCCTAATTGCTTTAAAACATCTCAATGAAAAACAGTTGAAAAACATCAAATGAAGACCAGTGCTACTAATTTGGTTATGAAATATGTGCACTTTTACCAGTATCCCACAGCGTATAATTTTTTCATAGTACATTTTATGAATTACATTTCATGAATTGGTTATAAAACAAACCAAATGATGCATAAGAATGTTTCCCTATATACTGATGTGCTACATGATATTTGGAGAAAGAAATGTGTATTTGCATGAAAAAACATTTGAGGAATGTTTTACTACACATAGATGCTTTTGACTCATAAGGGCTTGACTCCAGTAATGTCAATGTTTCCACTGTAACCACAGATAGTAACGTAGCATAAAGATCAATACAGAGAGATGACTTCTAGAGACAGAAATGTTCTCATAGTTACAACAGAATAGTTATAAGCATCAAATCTAGAAGGTTCTCTAGCCTAGAAATGCATGAATGTATAATACAACAAGTAACAGTGTGAAAGCACTTTGTAAACTCCAGTGGTAAGGAGCCTTTCTTAAGGTAGCTTTTCCTAGAAATCCATTTAATTGTTGGACTACGTTGGGCAGCGGAATTCTGATTGTCATTCATTCAGGAAGACTGTGTTTCTATTTTTGGTCCTTTCACCCACCTTTCATCCTTCACATAACTGTACAAAAGTTGAAAGTCACAAACCTATAGAAAAGTCTCAGTTTCCTACTGCAGAATTCTTGTCATTTCAGTAGTCACAGTTTAACTTGTTCTAAGTTTTTCAAATCCTCTTTTCCAGGACTTCATATGTTTTGATATTTTTAAAAATTCTTTCTTTCAACTTTCTGGAATAAGAAAACACGAGTTTTATTTACTTGGACTGTTCTTATTTCCCCCAGGACATCTAAAAACATATAGTAAGAAAGGGAAACTGTTACAACCAAGGACCCCTTAACAGAATATTTCACATAGGATCATAGCAGAATCTTTCTGTAGTTGTCCATATTATTTTCTTTTTCAAAAGATCTGTCTTGGATAAAACAGATTATAACATGGGAGTAATCTGGTAACTTACTTTGATTATAAGTCTTGCTTGCTTCGATTTGGGATTTAGGCATCGTTGTCCTTTATTTTCTTTCAGGGTAATACTGTTAAAAGAACATACAAAAGAGTCTTAAAGTTTAGATGCAAATACATAAACAAAAAAGCCTGCACCATTGTCATCTTCAGCAAGTTCATTACTTACATCACTTCTATTTTGTCACAGTTGTTACTTGGGTAAATTATGGAGGCTTTCTCAATATCTGCCACTTTCACTGCTTTTACTCCAGGGCCTATGCAAAGACAGCGTCCTCTTTTGAACATAGGGAAACCTAGAATAGATCACAGCATTAGTTAGTAATGCATCTGATTGCAACAGATGGCTGTGGTTTATAACTGGTGGCGAACGTGAGCAGAATTTTCATTAAGGGTGAAGATAGTAATTTGTCAAATAGCACTTAACACAACTATTATTGGGAAAAGAGTTAAGTAAGATGTTGATTAATTCTCTTTAAATTTGTAAGCGAATCACTAAAAAACGGGAAGCATGAAGGAAGTTTATTGGAGGTGAAGCTTGTTTTGCCCCCTTGATTTTATCCTCAAGTATTTTCCCAGAAAGCTTGTTAACATGATCGCTATATAAAATCTTCTTAATAGACACTTAAAACTGTTGCTAAAGGCTCTTGCCAGATATTCTAGCCAAATCAAAAATTCCATGAAGTTCATAATTTCTAGTTTCAATAATCATCTCTAGTACCTTAAACACATCCATCATTTCTGTGCTAGAGCTGTATAACTTCTAATCTGTGAGATTAAATACAACTTTATCATGTCTTTTAGGATAAAAGTGGAAGAAAATACATTTGAAACAATAGAAAAGGAACTTATAGGTTGAGAAATAAAAAGTCCTGCTTACCTTGAACAACCGTAGCACACAATATCATAGCTAAGGCTATAGCCATGCCCTTCACACTCATGTTTGTTTTTTGCTGCTGCTGTGGTTGCTGCCACTGCTGCTGCTGCTGCTGCTACTTCAGCTTTGCTACTCTTCTTGGAAGGAGTAGAAATGCTGAACATGAAAGGAAATTGACAATTGGTATATATACAGCATTTTGTACACCCGCAATCCTTTTATGGCACAGGAATTTCCCTCTTTGAGTCATGCACCTTTCTTGCTTCCAAGAGTTTCTGTTTTGTTCTCTTCTAAATGCTACTGTCCCTTCCTATTTGTAGTAGTGTTGAAAGTGATAAGAATGTGAAAGCACTGTGTAAACCCAGATGGTAACCAGCCTTTTTAAGGTAGCTTTTCCTAGAAATCTGTTTAATTGTGGTGGGCAGCGGAATTCTGATTGTCATTCATTCAGGAAGACTGTGTTTCTGTTTTTGGTCCTTTCACCCACCCTTCATCCTTCACATAACTATACAAAAGAATATTCTGAGAAGCTTTTTCTTTATCATCTAACTGTTTCTTTCCAGTTCAAACTCTTATGATAGATAAGGCCTATGTTATTTGACACCAGATGACCTTTTCATATTTTTGCCTGAAATGAGTGCCTAAAGAAGTTTCCCTGTGCTTCTGTATTTATGTCCATATTGTTTTGCATTTTCAACAATTTTTACTTTATATATTTTATTTATTTTGTTTTGCTTTATTTTATTTTTAAATTTAATTTAATTTTATTATTTTATTTTATAATTATTTTATTCTGCGAAGCTTTTATTACAGGCAGATGGCAGGGGGCTCAGTCCTTCGCAGCTGCTTTCCTCATGGCGGTCAGGACGTTGCTCAGCTCCTCCTGCCTTCTCTTGGGGCAGATGTTTGTCCCTACCCTTTTCTTGATGAATTTGAGGGCCCGTTTGACCTTGGAGACCTTCAGTAACTCCATGCCACGCCACTCGTTAGGGGTGAAGCCACACACCTCTGGGATCATGTCCCACACAAACTTAGTGTGTTTGGTCAGGCGCCCACGGTGGTTGTGCCTGGGCTTGCTCACGTTCTTGGTCACCTTGTGGCCCTTATTGAGGCCCACTATAGGGTAGTACAAAGTCATGGCTTCTGCCCTCCAATGGTGGCCATGGCGGAAAACTACTTTATAAATATCTTAGCACTGTTACTTAGTACGTGAAGTTGTATGAGTTGTGTTAGGGATCATAAAAAAAAGTGATCCTCTTTGCTCATGTGATAGTTTTACCTCTGAGATTCTACTTTGATGTAATTCCTATCTTTTTTTGTCTTTATTTTTTCCTGTTAAGCTTCCTAAATCTTTGTTTTAAGTGCGTCACTTGTAGACATTTAAGAAAATCATATCCAAGGAGCTTTCTAATGGGTAAGCTTAATAAAATACATTTACTGTTTAACTGGTAATCTGTAATTTTTAAAATGCTTCCTTGCTGATTCTTTATGTTTTCTTTGATTTCTTTCTAACTTTAAATATGTTTTATTTAACTTTTTGAAGCAATTTTTTTTTTTTAATGAGATGGGTACTCTGTCACCATTCTGGAGTCGAGTGGCACAATCACAGCTCACTGCAGCCCTGAACTCCTGGCCTCAAGCAGTCCTCCTGCCTTGGTCTCCCAAAGTGCTAGGATTACTGGGATGAGCCACGGTGCTTGGCCTTCCTTAAGTAACTTGAAAGGAATACACTGTTTTACATTTTGATATTCTTAAAATTCTTTAAAAAGATTTTTACTTGAATTTTTCTAATTATTTCATTCAACCATCAATAATATTTTTTTTAGCTCCTATCTTTGTAACATGAGAAAATCACTGTAACTTTCTTTCAAGAATTTTTCTCCTATTTCCTAGTTTTACCAATAAAAGTTGGTATAATCTGGGAATTTATAGCTGGTTTATTACTTTTAGATTATTATTTTATCTTATTCAACTTTTTTTTTGAGAATTACCATTTGTGTTTTATCTTTAAATTATATATTTATTTAGATATAATCCTGCATTTAAATTCTTTAACAACCATGACTAATCTTTAAAACCTCTGAAAGTCTTTACAGTAGTCACCCATTAAATGAGAAATTCTAGAAATAATTCGTAAGTTTTAAATTGTGCACTTTTCTGAGTAGCATGATGAAATCTCACATCATCTTGCTCCATGACTTCATCCCATCACATAGACATTTTATCATCTCACAGCATCACTAGAAGTGTGAGTACAGTACAATAAGATATTTGAAGAGAGACTACACAGTCACTTAACTTTATTACAGAATACTGTTGCAATTGTTCTATATATTACTATTGATGCTGTTACTGTGGCTAATGTATAAATCAAACTTTCTTATAGGTATGTATGTATAGAAAAAACTACAATATATACAGGGCTCAGTACTATCTGCAGTTTCGGGCATTCATTGGGGTCTTGGAACATATCCCCCAAAGATAAGGTGGGGGGGCTAGTGTATTTTAATGTATTTCCAAGTAACTGGAATATTCTTTCCCTCTTTTCCGTTAATTCATTTGACATATGTAAAGAGAGACTAATTTTTCCTTAGGAATATGGGTAAAGTAAAAGGAATGTGTTTGTGGAGCTCATAAATCCTTATCTGCTATTATTTTTTAACATTGCTTTTCATTTTCTCAGCATTAGAAGCGCAGTAGAGCATAGTTAATAGGGGAGGCTCTGGAGTCAGCCTGTGTTCAAATCCACACTTGATTATTTATTTATTTTTGAGATGGATTCTTGCTCTGTAGCCCAGGCTGGAGTACAGTGGTGTGATCTCAGCTCACCACAGCCTCTGCCTCCTGGATGCAAGTGATTCTCCTGCCTCAGCCTCCCAAGCAGCTGGGATTACAGGTGTGCACCACCACGCCTGGCTAATTTTTATAGTTTTAGTAGAGATGATGTTTTGCCATGTTGGCCAGGCTGGTCTCGAACTCCTAACCTCAGGTGATCCTGCAGCCTCAGCCTCCCAAAGTGCTGAGATTACCGGTGTGAGCCACTGTGCCCAGCCCACATTCAATTATTTATGAACAAGTTACCTCAACTTTTTGAGGCTATTTGCTCATCTATAGACTGGGGATAATAATAGTACCTTTTTTTTTTTTTTTTTTTTCCTTTTGAGATGGCATTTCTCTGTGTCACCCAGGCTGTAGTGCAGTGGCATGATCTTGGCTTACTGCAACCTCCGCTTCCTGGGTTCAAGCGATTCTCCTGCTTCAGCCTCCCAAGTAGCTGGGATTACAGGCATGTGTCACCACGCCCAGCCAATTTTTATATTTTTAGTAGAGATGGGGTTTCACCATGTTGGCCAGGCTGGTCTCAACCCCCTTTTACATAGAGCTGTTATAAACTAGGTATTAAAAGAGGTAATGCATATTAACCATTTAGAAAGATACGTGGCACTTGAAATGTATTAACTGCTATTACTACTATCAGTGTCCTTTTCTGAATTGGCATACCACATCTAGCTTGTTTTCAGCTGTTTTTCAGCATTAACACAAACACAACCACTTAATAAAAGATTAGTTGACATTGTTATAGCATATAAAAATATTTTAAATTATAATAACCATGAATATAAAAATAGCACACTAATCATAAAAATCACAGAAAGTGCATGAATGCAATAGCATAGTTCAAATAATACAGACAATAGTGAATATTTCTGCTTACTAGCTAAAGTTGTGTTGTCATATAGCTTTGGGGTAAGAGAATTTCTTAAATAGGGATTCTTAATTAATTTTTTTAAAAGACCCTGGAAATTGATATTATTAAACATATTTTTACATTATACTATTTTAAATAGAAAATAGACATAATTCAAATTTACATAAAACATGACTAAACTCTTCCTTTTGCCTTCACGTGTGAATTACCACTTAGCTGTGTAGAAAAACTGTGGATCACAATTTTGTCCTTCAGTACTCTGCTGGGAGTCCTGGAATGTATCCCCCAAGGATAACGAGGGGGCTACTGTATTTTATTTTCTAGTGTTTTATTTTCTTCCTTACTGCAAAGGTAATATCTGATATATTTTTAAAAATTAGAGCTGGGCATAGTGGCTCACGCCTGTAATCCCAGCAGTTTGGGAGACTGAGGCAGGCGGATCACTTGAGGTCAGGAGTTCGAGACCAGCCTGGCCAACATGGTGAAACCCTGTCTCTTCTAAAAATACAAAAATTAGCTGGGTGTGGTGGTGCATGCCTGTAATTCCAGCTACTTGCAAGGTTGAGGCAGGAGAATCGCTTGAACCCAGGAGGTGGAAGTTGCAGCCAGCCAAGATCGCGTCACTGCACTCCAGCCTAGGTGACACAGTGAGACTCCGTCTCAAAAAAACAAAAAGCTAAACATGAGAACATATGTAATAAGAAGAACCTTACCACTAGAGATGACCACTATTTTAGTTTTCTTCCCTCTGGATGGATACACACATACACTGGATACACACACACACACACACACACACACATTTCACCTAATAAGTGCTGTGTCAGACTATATCAGGTTCCCCCATGCTGCCCCGCCATGTGTCAGGGACTATAAAGATACTTCAGAAGGAGACAGAGGAGAAGACAGGGAGAAAAAAAAATTCTTCCTTTTCCTCTGAGGAAGACTACTGCATAATCTTCCTCACAGAGGCTGCTGCTTGTGTATGACCCTAGAGGAGGGGGCTATCCCTTGCCCATGTAGACACATCTTTGTCTGCTTTTCCTCAGTGCTAAATTAGTTTGAAAACTGAGGGAGGTTTATTTAGTTCTTCACTTCTTCAGGTGATAGATCCAAGATTATGCAGAGTAAGGAGAGGGATTGGTTTTGTGCTGTAACCTTTTCACTTCATCTCCTTGAACCACAAAATAAGGCTTTAGCAGGTGCTAATATGGTTGCTCTCTCCTTCTATAACACACTCTCTCTCTTTACTGCTCTTCCTCCCAATTGTTCCTGCCTTAGAGTTTCCTGGAAAGCACTACTCTTTTCTATAGTAGTTCATTTGTTCATTTACTCATTCATTCAGCAAATGTTTATTTTAGATGTCCGTCACATGTCTGGCACTCTTTTGGGTATTAGAGATAGAACAGTGAACAAAACTCACCAAGTTCTTTCCGTGTGTTGCAAATTTCAGAACCTTCTGCCTTATTGTAGAAGTTAGTCTGCCTGATTTCTGCTGGCTCTGTAGATGTGTGGGGTCAGACGTGTCTTCAGGATTGTGACTTGTTCTGGCTCTATACTCTCTGACATCACATGAGGAAGATTACCTTCTTTCACAGCATCTCCTCATCTGGTGAGCCTGAGAGATCCCTATTTTTTATATTTTTATAATACGGTTTTTCTAGCATGGAATGCACTTTCCTCTCTTTTGAATCCTTTCCTTCCTTTTAGTCTTGATGTCTTCATGAAGTCTTTTTCATTACATCGTGGTGTCTTCTTGTTCTTTATACTTTGTAGAACTTACTGCCTTTTCTAACTTTATCCAGTAGAAATATAATGCAACGCGTGTACATAATTTTAAATATTCTGATAGCCACATTTAGAAAGTAAAAAGAAACAGATGAAATTAATTTAAATATATTTTCTATAATTAAGCACAAAAATATATTATCATTTCAATGTGTAATCAATGTGGATATAAAAATATTAAATGAAATATTTTACCTTTTATTACTAAGTCTTCAAATTGAACTAGCTACATTTCAGATGCTTGATAATATGTGTTTAGTGGCTACCATATTGGACAGTGAAGGTCTAGTTATTCATTTGGCATGTATCATATGCTGACTCCATACTTATTTTAAACTAAAGCTGAGGTTGGAGAGGCAGAAAGATAACTGTCAAACTCCTGTAAATTTCCCTAGTTGCTTTCTTCCTTCTCTAAGTCATTATATCTCATTGCTCTTTTTCTTTGATTAAATGCAAAAAAGATCAGATACATTCTCTGTGTTCTTAGTAGTGTTGGCCTTTTTGGTTGTTTCCAGAATTGGACTATTTTATTTTATTTTCCCAGGTTCACCCACTAAAATAAGCTTTGCTTTTAATTTAAAGACGTAGGAGCATCCCAGGAAATGATGGAATACCAGTTTCCATAAGTAATCACTCTTTCA